AAACTACTGTTGTTGTTAGCATCGCAGATGTCTTCGATTTTCGTCCAACGTGACGCCGGATGACACCAGTTTAATTACTGCGCCGCGTCCTGCTGAAGCAGGCAATTGGCTAGTCTGGCGCCTACATAGGTTATCAATTGCATTTTTGCGCTCTACGGGCAATTTTTACGCGCAAGTGTTGTCAGCTTGAAAACACGGCAATTTTGCGCAATTTGTGTAGACTATCTCAGCGCAATGTTGTCCCACTGACAGAGTCACAGCTCCACCGGCTATAACCACTGTAAGCACTTTGTCAAGCGTTATACTAAACTCTTGGTAACTTTTCGAACACAAGATCAACTCACCCATTTTTTCGCAAAATGCTTCTAGGGTGCGTAAGGGTGCGACTTCTTCATCGAATTTCTTGACAAAAGTCGATGTTTTGCGTATCGTATCTAGAAGATGCGACTGCAGCCATTCTACACGATCATCGGAGTCGATCTGAACATATTTTTACAAAATTGAGCACAAAGCAAGCTGTACACTTACCGGGATAACGTCAGTGAAGTACAGATCTACAAAAGCCCAAGTCAGGCAGATCGGACGCAGGGTATTCCAAGAGCTGTCATGGCCCTCAGTTGCACAGTCTGAGAGCGCCGCGCGCAAAACCTAGAAAACAGTACATTTTGCCGCTAGGAGCGTTTTCATCAATCACTCACATCAATTCGCTGCTCACGCCAACTTTCAAGGGTAAGTTCGGTCATAAGGAAGGAGACGACCCGATGTCGAGCATTAATGGTGGGTAAATCATCTGCAGGCAGGGACAGAGCAAGCAGATGAAGAACGGCCAGATATTGGGCATTCGACTCCCTTCCTCCTCCTTGCGAGGCTTCAGAGAACGACCTACAAAATGCGTTTATCTACAGTACATGGTCACAACGAATACCAAACCAACCTAAAGAACACAAATTTGTCAATCAGCTCACAAATGTCGACGAAGACGATAGCTCGACATAGAGGTGGAACTGCAGCAGCGACTTCGAGATCGGTTTGGTACCTAAAACAAGAAGGCGGGACTTATAGACATAGTTCGCGCAAGAAAAGATTTATACCTATTCACAGCTGCGGTCCAATCAGCTTCGCTGGCAGTTCCGCTGGCAATAGGGGTTAATACGTTGCATTTGGCACCTGCATTGTGCAACGAGGCCTAAAAGGAGACGAAAATGGATTCACAAGATATATCTGCGAGACTTGAAGAAAGCCCATTTTTAAATCGGTATAAATCAATATTACAAATGTTGATGATCTACCTTAGTCCATTCATCCACATTTCGACCACCTCCACTTCGTCGAATAGCATTTTGATGGCAGTCAATGTGGACCATGACCATTTGACTTACAGTAGCAAGCTGTGGAACACGGGATTCGCCAGGTATAGGCGATGCAAATGCATAACTAAAAGCGTCAACATACAACCTGGTTTACCAGTGGTAGAAAGAAAAGGTAGACTTACGCAGCTGCCACCCGTGTTCCCTGGAACAGTGGTTCACGACAGATGCAACACGAAGCAAGCGGATCGAGTACATCTTCCAGGACGGGTTCGTTCGCGATACGTCTATGCGCTACCTAAAAAAAAACCATCAGGGTATCCTTTCAGCGTGCTCTGTTACCCGCTGTCTGTACTCCTAATTGTGGAGTTTTCATGAAAACCTACTTTGACTTCACCAGATTTGCCCATCTGCATACCCATTTCGCGCAATTGCTTGTTACGCATGGCCATGGCCATTTGGCGCTTCTTTTGCCTAGTTTCTTGCCTGACATTTTCAATCTGAGCAGCGACCTAAGAAAACATTGTTGGCGATCTCTCAGCAAAGTAAGAATAAGTTACCTCCTTGTTCTCCTTCAACGCTTCCACCACGTTCTCCGCAAGGGTGCCTATCGAATTGTCCGACGCAACCTGAAGAACTCAAAACATGACATGGGACCATAACTCTACGACGTTCATCACTGACCTGTTCCAGACGATGCAGTATGTGCAGAGTCTTTTCTGCGAGAGCACGTTGACTTGCCTCATGCGAACGCGCCATACCGTGCATGAACGATAGCATCTACAAAGTCGAGATTACAAAACTCTCCAAAGTTCACACCCCAATACTCACCAGCTTCAGCGAAGGACGAAGCAAAAACGCCTTCCATTCCTGCGACTCGGTCGCCGAGTACAACGGTGGATGGTTAGATACCAAATGCATACAAGCCTGAAATGAGGAAAATTAAAGTTCAGAAAGAAATAGGTTTATACCACTGAGTTCACAAAGAACTATCGCCAAATTTTCAGCATATCCGAAAGTAGTAATGTTCATACCTTGGCCATAACTCCGCTATCCAGTATGAGTTGCTTGAGTTTAGCCGCCTCTTTTGAATTCAGAATTCCAGCAGTGACCTCACACAGTCTTTCGACAGCTACTACTCGCTCGTTTCGCAACGAAACATCACTAAACAGAGGCAAAAATTCGCACAGCCTCACTGTGTGATAACCAAGTAACAAAACATATCAAGCTCACTTGGTCTCGTCGATTTCTTTCCATTGGCACGTCTTAGCATACATGGAAATAAGAGCCTTTTCAGCTTCCTCATTGCCAAGGACGAGGTTTCCAATGACACGCGCGACTTGGTTACAGAACTTGTTGACGCTCTCAGTACCTGGCATAAACAGAACTATCGAAAGTTTACAGAAGACAATCAGAAAGACTACTTACCAGAATCTGGTCGTGCCATTACAAATGAAAGCAACCACTCGGTGTCTTCTTTGGAAATACCAGTTAGAATCTTAATGAAGAATTTCAGAGAAGATGCTAAAGAGAAAGGGAGAAGGGCTCACCGGATGTACGGCCGGATCATTCACAAGCGCGGAAATCATCTCAAGATATTCAAGTCCAAGCTGAAGGGTTTCTTCATCGCTGGATCGTAGGGATACGCAAGAATGAAGAACCTAGACAACAACATCCCGATGTAAGAGGTGAAGACACAAGTATCAGGAGCACCTTCATGAATGCGTTAATTGCACCAGACGATACCAAGTCGATACGACCTTGTTCAGTTCGGACGCAGCGCTCAAAGAGTTTTCGCAGCTGACTCAGAAGGAATCTGAAGAACCCACTTTGACAACACGGACAAGGCAGACCCACTCATTATACCTGCCAGCGGTGCCTATATCAGCAAGACTGAGCAAGCTGAGGGCTCGGCTCAAACCACCACATTGAGAAAGGGCACCGGTAAGAGAAGACAGAGCCTCATCTTCTTCAGCTTCACCTAAAAAGGATCCGATATTGAAACATTATGGCCGCCATTCATAATAACAACTCGAAACTGAATTACAACATAGGTTCATGCAAAATGCAAATTATAAACTACTTCATTAAGGTAAAACTTTTTACCTCCTTCAGCTTCTCCCAGTGTAGAAACAAATGTTTCCACAGCATCACCCAGCAGACCTCGCATTCTATAGACGATTACCATGGGTTGCCCCGGATTGGTTTTCTTCCAAAGCTTGTCGTAGACTGCTCTCACAGGAAGTGCCAGTGAGATTATCTGGTTGTTAACCAGCAGCTGAAGCAATCCTCATGAAAAAAGCCAAATTTTGGACAACACTGACCTCCATGCCATTGTCATCTTCCATTAGTGCTATCATTTCGGTATCTCTACAGATCTTGTTCTTTATATCGCGCATCAATGGTCCCAAACCAGCATCGGTTGACTAAAACACAGCTCATCACATGACATCAGTGATAGCAATGCTACTACTCACCTTATACGGATTACCCGTCATTCTGCCCTGTAGAAAATCTTCTTGAGCTGGATCTTTCTCAATTTGAATGTGGAAATCCTCCTCTTCCTTCTGTTCCGGATTCAAAACGTCTAATATGACAGAGACGATATGTGCCTGCAAGTCTTGGCTTAAAAGGTGCATCACCGATCGCAAGGCATCCGAAACTACCTTGGTGTTCAGATCTTCTATGGCATCCAGTGACTGTACTGCAGCTCTCATTAGCATCAAAGGGTCCTTGGCAGAAACACGGCGTAGAAGTCTCTCAAGAGAACTACGAGAAGCTTCGACAGCTCGTGTACGTCTTAGTAGGACTCTGAAACATTCTTTGTCAGTGCAAGATGCTTGAAACGGACTAGCAAACCTTTTGAGGAAGATAGTAGATTGCAACAGCGGGACCAAAATGTGATCCCTAGCTGCCTTCAACTTCAAAGACTCTATACCACTTCCTGTCAGCAGCAAACAAAGTAGTTCAACATAGCTGCGAAGAAGAGTTCCAAAGGAATGGTCCATACTCGTTTCTTGCTGTTCCTCTTCATGCATTCTCTTGCACTCCTTGAAGATAACTTTTATCAACCAGACATGGAG